TCTGAATATTCTTGATTAAGTTCAGTGGATCTCGCGGGTCACAATGCTAGTAATTGATTCTCTCTGTTGGTAATTAAGCCCTTGTTTGAGCCCCATTTTAGAGTAGAGAATGAATTTTTGAATAGTGTATTGATGAGAAATGTGTGGTTAAAAAATAAAAAAAAGTTTTTGATTTATGTATAATATTATTTTATTGAATAATGTGTGGTTGAAATGATGTCAAATCACTGTTGAAGAATGTATTTTGATGAAAAATGGGGCTCAAACAAGGGCTAAATTCCGTCGATGCCACATTCTTCCTTTTGCTAAAAGATAAGATATAGAAATGAAAGTTTTTTGTTTTTTATCTTCTCAATTTGTAACAACCAATGTGAAGCTAGTTGGGGTTCAATTTATTTTCTCATTAGAACTTATCGACAATTATTTTTTGTTTTACAGGTATTTATTTATTTGATATCAATGCTCTTAGGTGTCACTTTATATAAGTCTCTTAATATTATTTTTGTCACCTATCATCATTTCTTTAAATGTCATGGTTTATCAGGATTACGAGTCACATTCTTCATCAAATCGGAAAGACAATATAATTCCTTTGTATTGGACGGTACTTGCTATTATGTACTATCTAAGTGTACTTTGTACCTATTAATCAAGTCTAGAAAATAAGCATCCAATCAAATCTCTTAATATTATTTTTGTCACTTATCATCATTTCAGGTGCTTAAGTTTCATGTAACTAATACTTAACAAAAATAATTTTTTTATATCTATGCAATTACATAGCCAATTATATTATAGCACGTGACTTGCAGCGTCTTACTGGTAATTATTAGAGAAGAGACAAAAATATTCTTTAAAGACATTTTGACGTGGGATTCACATGTGAATTATTTTGAGCAACAAATTCAAAATGAATGCTTGGAATCTAGAAATTTTGTGATAGAAAAAATTTTATGGTACAATTGGTCGGTGGACTCATTTGCACAAAATGACAAGTGTTTTCGTAGAATGATGGGTGTGATTGGAATCATTCTTTTTTCCTTCTTCTCTTTTGTTCGGATGCTACATATATGCCACAATTCTTGATACAATGAATCTTTATTATAATACTAATCTTTGTCCCTTACGTTATACAAGTATTGTATTTATTATGTTATTATTAGTATGAAATGTGTAGAATTTAGAAAAAGTTTATGAAAATGAGAAATATTTTATCACAAACTAAATGATCTAACAAATTAGAGAACCCAAAAAAAAAAAAAAAATTGTAGACAAAAGTAGAAAAAAATTACATAGCAAAAATAAAAAAAAAGAAACAAAAAAAGGTTATTATCAAGTTTTAAAAAAAGAAACAAAAAAAATTATTATCAAGTTTTTAAATTAAATTGAAATAATTAACATTAAAAATAAATACTATTTAATTAAAATTGAAAAAAAATTGTGTTTTATCGTAAAACAAAAAGAATTAAAAAGAATTTTAAATCAAAAAAATATTTATAATATGAACAAAGAGAAATTTTAAAACAATTTTAAAAAAGTAATAAAAACAAAATAAAAGAAAGTTACGAAAATTAAAGAAAGAATATACAAATATTGTTTAGTTAAAATTAAAAAAATAAAGTTTTATCATAAAAAGAAAAGAATTAAAAAAATTTATAATATGTACAAAAAAAAAATAAAAATAAAAATAAAAATTGGGATGTATGGAAAAATCCCTTTGTGTGTGGATGGAGAGGTTCTCTCCGTGCACAGATGGAGAGATTTCTCTTCATGCATCGAGAGAATTTTTTTTCCCTTTTTTTTCTTTTTTTTTTACATTAAAAATAATTTTTTTAATTTAAAATTTTTTTAATTCTTTTCTTTTGATGATAAAATTTAATTTTTCAATTTTAACTAAATAATAATTAAATATTCTTTATTTAATTTTCGTAAATTTCTTTTATTTTGTTTTTATTATTTTTTTGAAATTTATTTTAAAATTTATTTTTTCTTTGTATTATAAATAGTTTTTTTGATTTAATATTCTTTGTACAAAACTCCGTATACAGAATGGAACATAGAGAGCATGGTGGTAGAATTTTTTATTTTCTCCTTTCTCAACTCCAATTTCTCGAGTTTTAAGGAAATTTCGAGGTTGTTTGTTTTTTATGAAATTTTAATTAGAAACGTGTCAATCCAACTGATAAAAAAAATTTGAATGATTTAACAAATTAAACAACAAAAAATAATAGAAACAAAAAAAAAAGTTATTATAAAGTTTTTAAATTAAATTGAAATAACTAAAATTGAAAATAAATATTGTTTAGTTAAAATTTAAAAAAATTAAGTTTTATCGTGAAACAAAAAGAATTAAAAAGAATTTTAAATCCAACAAAAAATTATTTATAATACAAAAAAAAGGAATTTTAAAACAATTTTAAAAAATATAATAAAAACAAAATAAAAAAAACTTACGAAATTTCAATAAAGAATATATAAATATTATTTAATTAACATTAAAAAAAATTAAGTTTTATCGTAAAAACAAAACAATTAAAAAGAATTTTTTCAAATGGATTTTTTTTTTGCAATAAAAAAAGCAAAATGGAAAAAAAATGTGGGATGGAAAGAACTCTCCATCCCACTGTGTGTGGATACACGGAAATCTCTCCATCCATGGTGAGGAATCTCTCCATGCACGAAGAGAATGACATTTTTTCCTCTTTTTTTTTTATTTGTTTTGTTTACATTATAAATAATTTTTTTCAATTTAAAATTCTTTTTAATTCTTTTCTCATGATAAATAAATTTTTTTATTTAAAATTTTTTTAATTCTTTTCATTTTACGATAAAATACAATTTTTCAATTTTAATTAAATAATATTTATTTTTAATTTTAATTATTTCAATTTAATTTAAAAACTTTATAATCACTTTTTTTTGTTTATTTTTATTTTTGCCTTTATTAATTGGATTGGACAAGGTGAAGTAGTGTATGAAAATGAAGAAATATTGCAGTGGAGGTGATGATTACAGTAAAGTCGCATGTGAAAATAGAGAAATGAATGAAGACAAAATGACGTCATTTTTGCTCCCACAATAAAAATAAAATAAAATTTGCTACATTGAGATAAAATGAAATAATTCACTGTTGATTTTCACTAACTTCACATTCTCATTTTTATATATTAGGGATATGGGTTGGCCAACTTTGAAATGATCGTTAACTTAGTTTTAAAATGAATAAATAAAAATTTAATCCAAAATCAAGTAATTAACTTAGTTTTTGACTATAAAGCAATGGTTACAACCGGAAAAGATAAAAGCACAAAATAATAAATAAAATTAAACGTGTTTGGAATTGTAAATTAATTTTTCACTCCTTTTGAGTTTCTTTGTTATGATACTACAATAGTGGAAACATTTCCAAGTGGTTCATCCAACTTCATCCTCACTTCTCTAAATTTGGGAAATTATTAGGGGTTAATGCAAGAATATACCTCTATCTTTGAGAAAGTGCCCCAAAATGTCAACTGCACCAACATCATACGGCACGAACCATACCATAAATCGAAATCGAAATCGAAATCATTATTATTTTTGGAACCAAAAAAGTTGTCAATTACACACGGTATCAATATTTAATCTAAGTAATGTAGACTTCAAAGGCTAGTCAACATTAAAAATTTTCAAGTACCCAAATAAGAAATTACCAATGAAGATGATGCCTCTACTTTCACATTGAAAATTATAAATGAAAACGTTCGAGTTTAAATTTCATTACCACGTTCATTTTTTAGTGGACGAAATTTGACTTTGTCATTATAAATCTTGTGGAAAAGGTAAATTAAACTATAGAAAAATTAGTGGTAAAACCTAGGACTAATTTACAAGTAGAATTTTTGAATTTGTTTGTCTTTTCTTTTTATATAACTGATGAACAACATTAATACCCCAGCAAAAGGGGCAAAGAATGACTGCTCTTCCTCTTGTCCACATCCCAACCGACGAATTTATGTTCAATTTGTCTTTTTTGAGAAGAGCATGTGAGCGCCCCGAAATATGATTTAATAGAATAATAAAAAAAGTTCTTGTTGATTTCAACCTTCCAAATTTGCTAGAGAAGTATACGGCATATCAAACTAGAGCATAAGACACTTCTTATTATGACCAGTTAATTTTAGGGCTTAATAGAAGAAAATATCCCTACATATTTCCTACTTATTGAAAATCGAAGAAAATTTTTCAATTTAAAACCTTGAGTGCGGAATACAACTTTCGAGGTGCAAAAAACCCCCTTTATGAATTTTGAAGTGCGATTCACCTCCTACCGTCCAATTCCGGTTAGTTTAGCCGTTAAAAAAATGAAAAAATTGTCAAAATTTAAAAGGATAATTGCAGTTGTAATCCCAATTTTCTTTTTTATTTTTTACAAATGATACTCAAATTTTTTTATATCATACCATATAAAATAATTAAAATCAAAAATAATAATAATAATAATTTGGTATAATTTGTTAAAAAAACAAAAAGTTTGGGATCACAACTACAATTATTCCTTTTCAATTTTGACATTTTTTGACCTTTTTAATGGCTAAGCTAATGGAATTGGACGATAAGGAGTGAATCACACTTCAAACTTCATATAGGTGGGTTTTCCATACATCAAAGGTTGTATTCCGCGTTCAAGGTTTCAAATAGGGACGTTTTCTGCAATTTTCAATAGATAGGGGTACATCACACATCGTCAAGTACGTAGAGGGGTGGTTTTTTGCTATTAAGCCTTAATTTTAGTAATATTTCATTATATATTTAAAACCTTTAACAGACTATTTTGGGTACATTTGATGATGCTTCCATCAAAATCTTTCGTAGAATTGGGTAAAATAATTTATACAGTCATTTCTAAATTTATTAAAAATAAAAACGTGTTTTATTACTTGCTGTCGTTGAAAATAGACTGCTTGTCGGCACGTCAGACATAATTCCAACCTCAACACTTTTTGCATTAACTCAATTGGATCATCACCATCACAAATGTTCAATTTTCATATGTATACAAGAACCAGAGTAAATAGAGTAAAACAGAATCCTCATAACATTACAGTGTCTAGTCCTTGCAGAAAGAAAAGGCATAAACCAGCTGAGCTTCAATTCTATTTCTACCTACATGCAAAAGCTGTAAGCTGGTCCCCTCAATGTACTGTTTAGTCTAGACTAGATGTAGTAAGAGACTCCGGGGACATATTTCCGATCATCCCTCTGGTAGATCTCCTTTGTAAAAATCCAAAATTTTAAGATAAAGACATTCCAATTCAGGCCTGGTTGACCAAGTCTTTGGCGTTTATGAATATTCCATGAAAACCATATGGAACTCTTGATGGTAGCTTCACTATGGCCTGTAATTGCATATTCGTAGTATTAACAATTTGTAGCTCCGATTTCCATTCTTTTTCATCGTGCACGAAGGCCAGAATATATCCGTCTTCCTCCGCTTCACTGTTGGGGTCTCTGGGGAGAAACAGAGGCTCCCCGCCATAATTTTCATCACCATAAAAATACTTACTTACTTCACCAGATAAAAGGTCAACTTTTGCAAAACCAGACACTTTAGGCCATGGCTCAGCAATGGCCAAGTACGCATACTGGGTTTTTCTCCCGAGCTTGTTTCTGTTCACCATTCCTGCCTCTAAATTCACCTGGTCCTCCTCTGATATGATAGGGCTCCTTGTAGACTTGCCTGTCCTCAAATTTAGTCGAATTTCAGACAAGATACTCTTTAAGCCCTCTTCACATTCATTGAAAATGGAGTCAGGTGGAGTCATACATGATCCAATTACGACAATTTCATCACTCTCAGTGTCTTCCCAAGCATTCCAAAGATGAAAGCAGAAGCAATCAGGCACTTCCACCCACTTCATATCAGAAGCATCCTTCGAATACTTGTCCAGCACACCAAACCTAGACATTTTGACCTTGTCATAAACCACTGGTGAGCCACCCCACATCATTTCCGACATCTTGAATACCACTTGCTGATCAGGCACAATCACAAATCTCTCAGTTATTGCAAAATCATGCATCATAGTTGGCTCTTTAACGGGGATTACGACATCATTTGATTTTTCTCCATCTTTAGAAAACCTGAAGTATTTCAAGTGAGGTTTCTGGATAACATCATAGCTCAATGCAAATAGCTCACCGGAAACCGGGTCAAGCTTAGGGTGAGCTATCATGGTGGAGTTAAGCTGGCCATTGAAATTGTATCTTCCAACGGTTTGCAAGTCACCAGAGGGTGTCACCCGTACATGATACGGCAAATCATCTTCAGACATGGCTAATAAGCGGTTATGGAAGTAGACCAAACCTGCGTTGGCCACTCCAGTGCCTTGGCTAGGATCAACGAGGCCACAAAGCCCACGAGCATAAAACAGTAACAATCTAGCTATGCCTGAGTGACCATGTAGTTCGCCAATGGCTTTAGGGAAAACCGGGCAGGATATGGCTCGTTCTTGGACGAGTCTTTTTGTCTCAGTGAATCGGCAAGCATAACTTGCTGATCCATTATTGAATTTCACAGAGTGGATCATGCCATCGCCATCAAAGAAGTGGTGACCGGCAAGGGGCTCGAAAAGTGGATTGGCCCCATTTCGCACGTACACGCCTTGGATGGAAGCCGGGATTGTCCCCTCGACTTGTAGTTTGTGAGAAACAGGCTGTTCCGGCACTGGAGAAAAGTTGCCAGCAATCTGTATTCTTGGGTCTGCTGTCTTGGACAAAGGCTGTTTCAGCTCATGTGCTGTCAGTGCAGTCTCCAGTGCATCTAAAGCCATTGCTGCTGCTCTTTGGATTAAGTTCCATTGCAGCGTGTTATCTTTTTTGAGAACCGTCGTACTAGGAATAGTTGTTGCTGTCGACGATTGCTTTGGCAAATCGACCACTTGTGTTTGCAGAGAGCAGCCTCTGTTGAATAACAAGAAGTTTGAAGTATAGCTCCGGTCACCCACTGTATAGAATTTGGGCTTAACCCATGAATTAGAAGTAGCAGCAGAAAAAGAAACCATGGCAATCTATTAGGTACGCCGGTGTGTGTTAAGAGTGAATTTTGATATGAGAGGTGAGAAGAGGGTGTAATGTATATATAGCCCAGATGAGACCACGTGTTGTATACATAGATAGTGGAATATGCTACTTGTACATAAAAATAGTCCATAAGTGATTATGTGGAAGAAAAATATTGAATGAAAAAGTTGACTCTGTTTTAAACTAACAAGTAATAGAGTGACATTATCTAAAACTTGATTTACATGTAACAAAGTTTTATAAATAGTAGTATTTTTTGTATGGATTGAAGTTTGATATTAGTGAAAAAAAGTGAGACTACTGAAGTCAAAACTTTTTTTCTTTCGTTGTTTTTTACGCTTTAAAAATATAAAATAAAATAAAAAATTGGAAAAATATGGAGAGGTTGAGTGCCAAGAATGTTGATTGGTTGACTTCTACCTGTCTAAATCCCGTGTATGGTAGTAGGATAGCCATTAGGCATCTTAAGATGATATTTGATGGAGATTAAAATTAGATTTTTTAGTAAATTGTGATAGAAGTTTTTGAAATGAATGATTGAAAAGTTGTGAAACCCATAAAAGATATGATTAATATTAATTGTTTGATTTTGACTTAGACTTAAATTAAAATCAAATTTTAATCATAATCAAACATGGGCTATATTATTACAGTAAAAAGAATGTGAGTGTTGGTACGGCCTAAATTATGCCAACCTTCAAAAGAATGTGAATGTAGGCCCAATGGTGTGATGAACATATTATCAACTAAATTTTTAATTGCAGGTTATTAGAAAATATCTTGGCTATATATAAAAGTTACAAGCTTTCTGTTGAGAATATTTGAAGAAAATATTGAATAATCATTTTAAGAGGTATGAAACATTCTATTAATATTTAAATTGTCACAGCAGGAGTCTACAATGTAAAACAATTGACGAGGAAAGTTTTTATAATTTTTAAATCAAAATTCATGTGACAAAAGAGAAAAAAATAATAAAAAACTTGCTTAGGTTTGGTAGGTGTTTAATTTATAAGCAATTTTTGTAATATTTTTTCTTCACACATTTTTATATATTTTATAACCATCTCTCATTTGTAATCATTTAAACTATAGATAAATCCAATATTTTAATAAACTATAGAGGTCACTGGTAGCACTATTCAAATTGATTCGGGTCAATAACTGGAGTTTCAAGATTAGATAATGCTAGATATACATCCACTTTTTTACCGAATTCTTTACCTACACACACAATAGGATGGTGGGTCTCACACGCCGGAATTTTTAAATGCACACGGGCCCGAGTGTATGTGAGAGTAGGTAACCAATTCGGTAATCCAAATTCGGTACATATATATTTATCCTTCAAAATTTGCTCAGTTTTAGTATTTTTTTTCCTTCAAAGTTGCTTAGGTCTACTACATTTGCTCATCGAAGTAAATTTGAACAAAATTTTATCACGTTCAATTATTAGTTAAGTTTCAGCATTTTAAAATGTATACTGTATTAATTATATAGCTTCTGATATCAAATTGAATTTGCATTTAATCAAATATAGAGTAGAAAATTGTGACTGAAGTTTTTGAAGATTAACGAAATTAATTTTGAATAAGATAACTATCAAAGATAATCAAACAAGAAATATATTTGAGATGAAATAATTAAAGTGGATTTATAAAATTATAACCAATTGGCATTAATTCATCTTCATCAATCCGTATATCTAATAATTTGAGAGGATCGTAGAATTTACATCGGACTAATTTGATCAATCAATATTGTGAATCCGGAACTCGATTGACATTTAAACATTCTATTTATTTCTTTTCATAGTCCATATCTGCATTGATAATTCTTTCAATAAATTTTCACATTAAAGTTGAACCCACTGGACCGCATGGAAGAGTATCTTCGTAAAGAATGTCATGAGTGGTGAAAGGACCGTGCTATACGTACATAATCATCTATACAATCGTTTACACCCCACTCACGTCATTAAGGTGGGGACCACAGCTCGGCATTATTAAATACACGCAGGGCCCGCGTGTTTGTGGGGAGGGGGGGGGGGCATGCC